ACGGCACTTAACAACAACAACAACAACAAGATATCAAGTTACAGAACATCTTCTTGTTGCTAGTTGCCATCGTCAATTCTGACTTACCGCTATTCCAAATGTACAGAGTAGAACTGCTCTACAGGGTTTTCAAGGCTTTGGTCTTTTTTGGAAGTGGATTGCCAGGTCTGCCTCCTGAGGGGCCTCTGGGTGGTTTCGAACCACCAATCTTTTAACTAGTAGTAAAGCACTTTACCATTTGTGCAACCTAGCTGTCTCACAGAGCATCCAGAGATGTATTTTTACCTTTTTTTCCGTCCAGAGCAAAATGCTTTGATTTTCTCCAGCAATCATTATTAACTCCTTCTCTGAGGTGTGGTTTTCTGCAAGGGATATATAAAAAATAAGAGGTTAGGAAGTCAGTTTGGTACAAATGTGCACCAAAATCACTGCTGTCGATTGGCATCATAGCAACCCCCATTGGGTTTTCGAGGCAGTAAATCTCTAGAGAAGTAGACTGCCCAGACACTTAATTAAAATAACTTCAGATTCTTCTTGAACTTAGTGGTTTTATCTTTTCAACACAAAAAATTTACATTTCCCAGCAATTAAAAAACAGAAAATAAAGGTGATTCATAAGGTAAACATGTGGCATCAGTTAAACAAGCATACTTAATAGAAGTGCTTAAATAAAACAAGTCAAACAAACATTTGATTACTTAACTGTTCCCTAGTTTAGCCAAATTAGGCTCCCATTACTGAAAACCATGTTACATAACTTAAACAATGTTTATAACTTAAAACTATATAACCATGTTATATAACTTATAAATATTAACTTTGAATATTGACTGTTAGTTGTGATGACTATAAAAAAAAGTACTTGAAGTTCACATACAAGGAAAACAAAAAAAGACACTATATTAACTGCTTAGGGAAATTACTGTTCATTTCTACAGAAGAACGGAGAGAATTCTGTATTTTAGGTCATCAGTAAACTTTCACCCAATGGAAGCTGCTATGAGTTGGGATAGACTCAATGACAGTGAGTTTGACTTTTTGGTTTACAAAACTTTCAGAAATAAGTAACAAAAGTGCCTTTGCCCAGGAAGACTTGGCAATCTGCTTCTGTAAAGATTTACTGTTTCAGGAACCCAAAGGGGGATTGCTATGAGTCGGAATCAACTTGGTGGCATGAGTTTGGGTTTTTTTTGGTTTGGTGAAAGCTGGACAATGAATAAGGAAGAGCAAAGAAGTATTGATGCATTTAAGTTATGGTATTGGTGAAGAACATTCAACATACTATGGACCACCAGCGGAATGAACAAAGGACTTCTATAGTAGTGTTTCAGAGTTCAGACTCTGAGGTTACACAGGAGATAGTTCAAATCCAGCCAAACCCCTTAACAGCTGCAAGACCATGGCTAACTTCCTTTATTCTTCAAGCCTCTGTATCTTCTTGATAAAATGAAAATAATAGTACATATCTCCCAGAATTGCTGTAAGGATTGGTTGCGATAATGCATACAAGTATCGAGTAGTTATAGGACCAAGCATCTATCAGATGCTCATCATAATGAGTGATCTAAATAATTATGAGTCAATTGAACCAGGTAGGTAAACGAATACCATGGAATTAATGTTTCTTGTATAGTAGTGAAACAGTGTCTGACATAGACCCAGAAGATGAACCCTCAGGTTGGAAGGCACTCAATATATGAATTGGGAAGAGCTACCTCCTCAAAGTAGAGTTGACTTGAATGATGTGGATGGAGTAAAGTTTTCAGATCTTCATTTGCTGATGTGGCATGGCTCAAAATGAAAAGAAATAGCTGGAAACATACATAGAACAAAGGTAGTTGTTCAAACAGAATAAGGGGACACTGTCAAAGTATAGTGCCTAAGGCATTTGACTGCTAACCAGAAGGTTAGTGGTTCAAACCCACTAGCCACTCCTCAGAAGGAAGACTGGGCAATCTACGTCTGTAAAGATTTACTGCCTCAGAAACCCAAAGGGGATTGCTATGAGTCAGAACTGAGCTGATGGCAGTGAGTTTGGGTTTTTTTTTGGGGGGGGTTGGTGAAAACTGGACAATGAATAAGAGCCAAGAAGTATTGATGCATTTAAGTTATGGTACTGATGAAGAATATTCAACATACCATGGACCACCAGAGGAATGGACAAATCTGTCTTGGAAGAAATACAGCCAGAATGTACCTTAGAAGTGAGGATGGTGTCTTTGTCTCACATGCCTTGGATATGTTATCAGGAAGGACCAGTTCATGGAGAAGGATATCATACTTGGTAAAGTAGAGGGTCAGCAAAAAAAGAAGCCCCTCACTAAGATGAATTGACAAAGTTTGGAAACAATAAGCTCAAACACAGCAATGATTGTGAGGATGGTGCAGGACCAGGCAGTGTTTTGTTCTAGTGTACACAGGGTCAATGAGTCAGAACTGACTTGTCAAAAGGTAACATCATCTCTTGCAAACTAGAATCAGAGCTGGACGTGCCTCTGAATCCATAGAAACTATTTTATTTTCTATCATTTGAGTTCACCTTAATTCTAATGTGAAGGGGTTAAAAGAAAAATAATGGTGATTTTTGACTTGATAAGTTAGGCTGATTCTTTTAAATAGTATGCAAGTAAAATAAATAAAATTAGTTTATCTAAAATGGTATTCATGCCAAATGCTTTGCTTCTATAATTTACCAAATCTGAGTTCTTCTTTTGATGGCAATTTCATTGGAAGTGGTATTAGCTGATTATGTCTTCCACCGTTTCCCAGTTGTCCTTTTTTTCCAGAACCAAAAGAAAAGACCTTTCCCAAATCAGAAACATAGGCAAGTGTGTGATACCTAATAAATAAAAGTGCACAGAGTCAATTCTCAATTACTCATGCTGACAAGAGTATGTAGCAATATGGTAAGCTGCTGAAATTAGTTTACCCAATGAGAGTGAAATAGTTAACCCCAATGGATGAAATTAGCCATCTAGAAGTCAATAAATTGTTAATTTGTGGTTGAGCTGATTTTGGAACCCCTATCTCTTTCAATCTGTTACCCACAAGATCATCATGAATTGGAGCAGACTCGATGGGAATTAACAGTAACAACAAAGTCTAACCGAAAGATTGGAGGCTTTGTGATTTACTTCCAAAAAATAGCCATTGAAAACCCTGTGGTGCACAGTTCTGCTCTGACACACATGGGAATGTCATGAGTCTGAGATAACTCTACTAGCAAATGATGATGTAAGTCTACCCAATGATTTTTCATAATGCCGCAAATGGTGTTCCCTGTCAGGAACACTCATTCCTCCTTGCCTCCCACTCTGACTTCAAACCTCAGCTTGCAAGTCACTATCTCTTGGAAACCATCCTTAAGTCCCTCCTCTCCTCACACTAGAAGATTAAAATTAGATGACCCTCTCTGATCTCCCACTCGACTTTCTGAAGATCTTCACTACACTGATTTTCTTACTGATTTGTGTATTGGTCTTTCCCACTACAAATGGGAATTCCTGAAAGCAGGGACCATGAGTTGTATCTCTATCCTCAGGGTTTAGCATGTCATCTGACTTTTAGCACATGTTCAAAATAAAGTCATTTCATAATGGAAGGTGATTCAGATTTCGAATATGATTGCAATTAGGAAGTTTAAACCCAATCAACTTTACTGCATTGTAACTAAAGGAATTACAAATCAACTGATATGGGCTATGGATTTGAGATAGTATTGAATAACACATTATCACATCTAAAAAAGCAGAGTTCTCAGAGCTAGCAAAAGGCATTGTTTTGGATTCCCAGACTAGACAGACAATGAATCTAGTGAGAGTGAGAACTTCTCTCACTAAAGCAGTAGAATCTGGCATGAGGTAGGTGTAGTTACTCAAACTACAGCATAAAGTAAGATTAAGTCAATTTCCCAAGTTCCCTAGAATAGGGGTATAAGTGACTTGACCAACAGAAAAAATTATTCCTCACTGATATGGCTGTACATATATACTAGATCACATTAATTTCTTGGTAGTTTGGTTAAATATAAACCACTCCTTAAGAAACAGCTCACCTGTGGGTACTGTGAAAAAAACTGAGTTTCTGGATCAGTGAAGACAAGTATCACCACCTGAAGTATGGTCAACCCTACCCTTATCCCTGTAAGGTGGTAGGGGGCACCCAGTAAAACCTCCTAAGACAGAGTTTCTCAAACTAGGATATAAGAGTTACCACTTTATTTGTGCCTTTGCAAATTATATAAACACTTTTTTTAAAAAATAGAAAAAACAGATGTATTATGAGATAATATGAAAAACTGAAAACTTTAAATGATAATTCAGAGACTCCAAACAAATGGGAAGATTTAGATGGATGGCTCTAAGCAATTCCACAGGGGCCTCAGCCATTATCCTGTGTCAGTAGGGGTACCGCCCAGGTTTGCATGAAGACATCTCTAACTTGGCTCTTTAGCTTATGATACATCTTGTCCAAGGTAGTATGTATTAGGAAGAATCCAAAGTGAGGGAAATGTTTCTTTGGTTAACGCAGAGATATCAAACACAGAGAATCATACCATTCCAAAAATCAATATTATCTAATATTATTCATTTATGTAATTTTACTCCATGATCTTAACAGAGTATGCATGATCATACTACTGACTCAAAATACGTACACTATTTTTATAGTAAGAGTGAACCCCATATTCAGTATAGATTTGTATAGGTTTAGTGAGGAAAAAACTGCCCACAGGAAAAAGTGTATTAACCCCATCAAGACCCAACATCTCACAGGAAAGCAACTGACTGATGAATCAAAACATCAAACAAGAAAATAATTAAGTAAATCATGGAATCTGAGCAAGTTTTTGTTTTGTTTTACTTAAAAAAAAAAAAAAAAAAAACCAACTGTGAAAAGTAAATTGCATTCAAAGCACAACTGACTGTCGTGTACTTCACTGTGGCAGGTCACTTTGAAAGAATTATGGTGACTAAAAAATATGCAGGCCCAGAGGAGCTGTGAAAGATGACTATATCGAAGAGTAATCCTTTGTGATTTGTGTTTATTTACTGCTCCTCTAAATAAAAAAATATATTTTTCTTAAAAATAAAATACTTCAGAACAGTTAAAAAAAGTATTTCATTAAAAGGGCAACAGAAAGTTAACTGCATTTCTTCTTTAAAAAAATCAATGAGAGGAACATGTGTGCTAAGATTTATTATGATTATCTAATGTTACTTAGGGAGCTCTGGTAGCGGAGTGCCTAAGGCACTTGACTGCTA